GTGATTTTGTTTACGCGAAGTTTTCTGAGATCAGTGTTATAATTCGACCTTCTTGCTATTTTCACCGTCAAGTGTAATGATTCTGTTAGTTTTCTTTCTTGTTTCCTTGTTTTTTTTCGTCGTGAAGGACCAAATAGCGTCTTTTCAGTTAAAGCAAATCATTGTGTTTTTGAACTAAGTGTTCCGTGTATATGTTTATTTCATTGCGTCATTGCGACCCAGTTTGATTATAGAATTCAGTACAACCGGTTCAGAGTTGTACTGCATGCAGTTGATAGTCTGAACGTTACAGTCAAAGCAGGTAAAGCGTACCACCCTATTAATGAATTGATTATTTGAAAAATGAATCCGTTAGTCGTTCCCGTAACTGATGTCAAATTCAAAGCAGCATTTCTGCATTCGTAATGAGCAGTGAATATTTTACGAGAACTTCTCTGTATTTGGTCAGATTGAAAATCTTTGAATGGATTAAGTTTCTTAGAAGAGATTTACATCAAATTCAGGAAAACGGAGCTGGTAGAAATTTCATAACTGCCTCGCGTGTGAATTCACGGCTCATTACACATGCAAGAATGCAGAGATCAATCTGAAATCTACAACTAGCAACGGATTCAACTTTTGAATAACTTTTGAATAATAAATTCATTAAAATTCATTTCTTGGGGGGTACCCTTGACCTGGTTTGACTGTAAACATGAATTACGATCGAAAAAATAAAGCAATTCTGTATCATGCAGACATTTCCAAGCGATATTTCTCGGTTTGCCACTTGAAAATCGTGTTTTACTTTTTGCATGAATTAAAGCAAAGGTCAAGGAGAAGTGACGTCAGTGAACGGCATTAACGGCCGGTCAATTAAGACGTTACTGAGGGAGTAATAGGGAACTTAAGATAGAGACGTTTTCGGGGCGACGGCGACCAGACTGGCAGAGCAATCTTGGAACAGAGGTAGCCTTCGCTTCCCTCCAAAATTCGAACATTAAGATCGCAGTGAACTCAGGAGGACGGCGCCTTGGAAGACTACCAAAGAGGAAAATATGGCTTCACATAAAGAACTAAGAGAATTAATGCTTAATTGCTTGCATGCAACAACGACAACTTTATTTCAGTATTCCCACGTTAGTACGTGGTATTACCAACTATTCTAAACAATTTTCAATACATACGTTTCATTTATGATACTCTAACGAAAAAAGTGAGCTAAAAACACACAATTAAAACATCGGAGTTCATAGTTTTTGTCCGGATACTTTCATTTAGCTCGTAGGACAATTTTGTCCATGTAAAGCTCACTTACGGTTTGCTGTTTGCCATATTGGATCAGACTGCATCTTGACTCTGTGACATGAAACATAGAAACCTTATAAAGATGTAAGTTTAGATAACAGAGCTTGGAAATCGAGCTTGAAATGTGACTCAAAGAAAACAAGGACAATTTAAGAACGATAATCTGCAAAATTCTGGTTGCTAAATGCAACGAACCTGATTGAAATGAGAGTTGAATACTCACGTTCTCGCCACAACGCCAAACAGACTAGTTTCACGTCGCCGACGGGAGCACGACGGCAATGTGGTGAGTAAGAGCATGCGCAATTCTGTACAAATCATGACATCACGTCCGGTTGAAGTTGCCGTCGCCCCGAAAACGTCTCCATCTTAAGTTCCCTAATAACGACGCGAAGTAATCGGATGAAATTCAGGCTAGTATTGGCTTTAATTCATATAATAAATACGCAAGAGGAATTTCAGAAAAATCGTTGGAGCAGAAGTCCGTAACTTAAAGTCGCTCAAAATTTAGCTGTGAAATTGTTTTGGAATTTTAAGAATAAATTACTATCAGGTAGAAGAAGACACCACTTTGAATTTTCGGACAAGTAAATTCAATGTTTGCTAATTCTTAAAACAAAAGTCGATTGCCTATCGTGCTATTCTTTAAAAAGTACTTTTTAGTTTTAGAAGCACTATAAATTGCTCCAAACCTTGCTCTGAAGTACAATGACTTGTTTTTTGACGTTTTTAAAATATCCCATGGCAGTTTTGGCTCAAACTCCTGCTACATACATTTTGATGTATTGCAATTGCATTTTGAACGAATTTTACTGCTGTTTGTTTCTTCCAACTCAGGAAAAAGGTATTGGACGCTACCTCGTATTAGAGCTCAGATAGAACTGTCCAGCACCTTGTCCTAAACAGAAAGCCTAACAACGTTTAAAATAAGTACAAGTATGTTTTCGACTATTGATAAAACTTTTCACAATCACCACTTCATTTCAACACACTGTAACTACACTATCCCTTCATAACCAAATTAGCGCTTCCACAACTACCTCACTGCAACACCTAAAGTCACTTTTACCACCCAAAATAATAATTCTTTGTTACTTCAAATTAAATTCTTCGAGAAACAAGTTTCACTGATTTATAATACTACAGCCATTATCTTACCAATTCACGTCCAACATAACTCCACGCCCTCCACTTCACGCATCTCAACCAACCCTTAAAATATACAACGCTACTG